ATTATAAAAAGAATTGCTATAAGTAAAAATGCTTAATATATTAAATCTATTAGTAAATTTGAAAAGGTTAGTATACATGCTGAATGTATATATAGATGTAAGTCATGCTGTGGTTGAGTAAGCTTTATGACTGTTCAGACATTTGTCCATTAGTAAAGAATTACTCATATAAATCTATATATATAATTATAGAGGTGACTATAATTAGAAAGCTTTTAGTTATGAACATGATAAAGCATAATATACTAACATCTATTTTTTATTTATAGATTTATGTAAAATTTCAAAAAAATAATCTCTGTTTATTATTCAAAAATAAAATTATTAATTCTTTATATGAAGATAATTATGATATAAATGAAAGTTTTATTATTAAGTTTATCTATGATGACAAAGACAAAGATATTATAGAATTAAAAAAGATATTGAAACTTTAATTTCTTGTAAATTTAGAAATAACAAAAACATTGGATTTGATGATATTTAAAGAACAGTGATTATTTCTAATTATTATAATGTTCAAGGTATTATTATAACTAATCTTAGTTACTTAAAAAAAGCAACAAAAGCTGCTTCTAAGCATAATGTTATCTTGTCTTATCAATTAAATCTTAAACATAGATTGAATTATTATATTAAAAATAAATTGAATGATAAAGAACTTAATATATTATGTGATATTTTAAATTTTGAAGATTATTAAATTTTATATATTTTTTATAATAATAAAAATAAAGATATTGATATTTTTTTATTAAAAATCACAAGATTATTATTTATTTTGAATTTATATTAAAAAATAAAGTATGATAAAATAATCTATTTTTGTATCATCTGTATACCAAAATAAGAAATCCAAATGTTATAAAATGAATGAATTGTAAATGCATGATTTGCATTTTTCTTTGTTAAATTCAAAATGAACCAAAGCAAAAACAAAGAACTCAAGACAATGAAACAAAGAATGATGAAACTTTAAATCATATTAGAAAAGTTAAATCGAATATAGTTACAGTTTTGAAAAACAAAGAAGTATCTAATAAATTAAATAACCTGCTTGGTGAAATTAGAAAAAGCATATGAAAAAAATCTGATATCAATTTTGATAGAGATATTAGAAATCTATTCAAATTAGATATTTGTGAAAAGAATATTCTGTTCATGATATGTGGATTCTTCTTAACAATTAATAGTGTTGTCATAGATTCATTGAATGATTCACTTATTAAAGATCTTAAATCATTAGCAAATTCAACCAAACAGATAGAAACCACACTCAAATTCTATAAAGAACAAAATCGTCAAGAAGAAATACATGATGAATTCTATAAAGACATAGGCAAAGCATTCTTTTATGACAAGTATCATTTTCTTTAAAGAAGCTATAAAGATTTTGTTGAATTTAAGAAAGTTTTTGATTATTGCAGAAAATTTTATGATCATAATGTTCCTCTTAGTAAAAGGCTTCTTGTCTATGCATTTATTAAGTGTATTGTATTCTTCCTATTTTTTGCCTAAATAATTAGACATCAATTTAGTAGAAACACTTAGGAACAGTTTCTGGTAACTACTGAGTCTGCATCGAAGACACCATGCATGTTCATGGTCATTCATACATTTACAAACTTTTTGGTAATATTACTGAACCTTGAGCAGAAAAATCTACAATAATTTAGTCTTTCTTGTGAAAGATATATGAACTTCACAAATCTTAAAATATAAAGATAACAATGTCAATGGGTTTACCTTAGAAATGGTTTGTGAATATGTAAACTATCTTGAAGAGATAATATTGAATTTTACAGACTTTAACAATAAAAAGGCTAAGAAGAATCTATTCAAATACATGAACTACATTTTAATATACACAAGATCAAACTTTTTTGAACAATGAGTTATCAAATATAGTAGTTTTCATGAGTTCAAATATCAAAAAGAAATTTTTAATAATTGCAATGAATTAAAATTGTATAATTCTAAATCTGTATTTTGATTTATTGTTTTACTGATAAATATATTATTCATAAAAAACTATTTAAATGACTATAATTACAGATTATTTTAACCCAAATTCAACAATAATATTTTCAAATAAAATAACAATAATTGTTAATAATATCAAATTCAATAATTTTTATAATATTCTATGCATTAATAAGTTTATTTTTTATCTTGTTACCCAAAAAATATGGACAGATTTTTTTGTAAAATTTTATTCTGTATTATAATTAAATGGAAATGAAAAAGCTAAACAGATTTTGGAAAAAGTTATATATATTCTTTTTGAATCTCTAAGTAACAAAAGTAAAGAAATTATTTTAAGCAATCTAGAAATTAAAAATGATAAGCTTATAAAAAAGCCAGTAATCAACTATCTAAAATTTATACAACATATAAATTATTTATTTATTTTTAAGCTGTGTGATTTATTTATTAAAACAGATAATGTGTATACTGTTTCTAATGAGCTTTTTATTAAAGTTGTCTCAAAATCAACAATCTTGAAACAACTCATTATCACCTTTTCTGGATTAAATATTCAAACATGTGAATTATTATCACTGATTCTTGATCAAAAAAAGTTAAAAGTTCTTCATATTGCCTCCATAATTAACTATATATTTTTTGATATAGTTTTTAAGTCTATTGAGAACCTGGTCAATAAAATAAATTTAAAATTCAAGATTAATATGCTTTGGATTAAGGATTATTTTATTATTGAAATTAATAACACTATCACTAAACTGAAAGTGAATAATCAATATAAAGATCTTATTCAGTATTTTCTATCTTTTGAGGTGCTTATTCTTTATGAAGTTAAATATAATAAAGAATTTTTGCTAAAACTAAAAGTTTCAAGTTTTATTGTTTACACAAAAATGGAATTAGTTAAATTCTATTCTACTATAATAGAAAATAAGAATATTAAATTATTTAAGATCAAATAAGTATGTAATTATTATGTTATACAAAGTTTTTTACATTTTGAAACCAAGATAGAAGTATTTGATGATCTTATTTCAGGATTCTCTAAATTTATTTTATCTTATAAAATTGTTTATCTTGCCCTACAGTAAAAATTATTCTTAACAATTCAGATCTTAGTAGAAAAATATTAGATAATAAGAAAATCAAATACAGTTTTAGATAATATGTTATTTCTATAAAAAATATATACTACATAAATAAATATGTTATCAGATTTCTTTTCTTAAATTCTTGTACTGATTTTAGTTTTATTAATAAACATTTGCTTTCATCAGTTAAAGCAATAAAAAATGTCTTTTGTGAATATTGATTTTTATGAACTTTCAAGAAGCATATTATTAAAAGATACAATTGATTTACTTTAAATGATATATAAAGAAAAATATGAAGATACTTAAAGAAGTGAAAGTTTCTATTCAAGTAATTTTAGTTATCAAGAAACTTTAAGAAAGTTTACTCTAATTAGAAACTATCTTAAACAAAATGATGTCATCAAACTTAAATATTTTTACCAATAATGTAATGATTATTACTTCAATCAAAAATATATCAAATCTAATTGGTATTATAGAAGATTCCTATAATGTTTACAAGTTGATCCACACACCTGTTGTGTATCTTGCAAATCATTCATAAACTTTTGCAGATATGTATTCCAATGTGCATTAGCATATTCAACAAGATTCAAAAATAATAATAAAGTCAAAACCTGGGCTAAGTGTTCATTTTTTTGTAATAAGTATAATGAAAATGCATTTCAAGAACATTTAAAAATATGTCAAAGAGTTATCAGCAATGATCTTAAGATTGTATTTCTCAAAGTAAAATCACATTCTGTCAAGTTAAATGCAATAATAACTACACCAAAGTTTATCAATCTTAAAAGGGAACTATGTGAGCATTGTGATAAGATCTATGATAATGCAAAACTATGTATCTCAAAAAGGACAAAATACTGCTACAACTGTAAGAAGTCTGAACATATCAAATAAAACTGTCCAGAGGTATAATGTTGGAAATGTAATGAATTTGGATATCTCAAAACAGATTGTGATTATTAATAATTAAAATTGAAATTAACTTCTATATACTGCTAGGCCAGAGTAGTTAGATTGGTTGATGATTAACTTTAACATTGGGACTAATGTTAATGTATTTGATAATGTTAAGTTAAATGTTAAAGTTAATATTAAGTTAAATGTTAAAGTTAACTATTGAATAGTCTTATTAACTATATTTGGTCTACAGTATATGGGTATCAATCATTTCTTTTTTTATTTAATTGTATCTTTAACAAATTTATACATAATAAAATAACTATAAATAACCAAGTAAAAATATATCAAAAAATTGACTATGACAATGTCTAAATTACAGAAACATCCAGTTGTATTCTACTTTAATAAAAAAACTTGCATATTATATAATCATAAAATCAAATACAATAGTAGTGTTACTTCTATTAAGAGACATTTTATCAACAAGCATAATGATGAATGGCTTAGCATTCATAAACATAAATTTATTGGAAACTGAACTCTAAATAAAAAACATCTAGTAGTAAATATTTTTGTGAAAAAAAATACATTGTATGCAATTATGAATTTTGAGTTAATCTGAAACTTTTAACTATAAAGAAACACTTTGTAGATACTTATAAAGCAGATTGAGATACATTCATTAAAACAAAAAAAAACACAAACTCAAGTTGTTAAGAAACCAACTATGAAACCTACTGTTCAAACTAAAGAAACAAATAAGTTAAAACCAAACTTAAGAATACTATTTCAAAAAAGAAACCCAAAGTAGTTAAAAAGATTTTCAAGAAACCTACTGTTGTTAAATAACAGAGATTATCCTTATTTGGTTATGATATCCAAATTGTAAATTATTATTTTAACCAATATAATATGCTAAACATGTATTGATATAACACTTGTTATAAGGTAGTTTAACCAGAATTAGTCTTTTTAAATATAAGACTCAGGTGTAAAAAAAGATTTTTAGGTGATCTAATTAAATTTGAAAATATCATGTAACTCTATTAAATATATAAATAAAGCAATTCTAAATTTAAGTTAGCTTATAAAAAATGTTTGAAGCAACTTTTGTTAAAGCATTATTGTTTAAACATGTTATCGAAGCAACAAAAGAGCTTGTCACTGATGTTAACATAGAATTTACAGAATCTGGCATCAATTTTACAAGCATAGATCCATCACACATTACACTTATCTCTGTTTATCTTAATAAAGAAAGTTTCAAAAGATATGTTTATGCAAAGATGAAATTATTAGTATAAATCTTGATTATCTAAATAAAATACTTAGTCGTGTAAAGAATAACAATATTCTTATACTTAGACTAGTAAATCCAGATTTTCTAAGTGTTTTATACAAGGGTTTTGATGATACTAATAAAAATGAATATGAAATTCAATTACTAAATATTGACTAGGAAAGGATCAGTATCCATATACTAACTACAGTATAATCATTGATATGTCTTCTGCTGAATTAAAAAAAATATTTTTAGACCAAATAATCATAAATGAAAAGTAAGAATAATTATAAAGCAGAATATTGAAACAGTTAAATTTACTTTAACTGGTGACTTTAATATAAATGTATCAGTATTTTAAATAAAAGAACAGATGAATTTGATGATAAAATCAATATTAAAACAGGAAATAATATAGATGATTTATTTTCACTTAAATTTTTATTGATGTTCATGAAAGTATCTTCTTTATTAACTCATATACAAATTTGTTTAGAAAGTAACTTTTAATTCTTGTTAAATATGAAAATAAACAAAACTATATTCATTACTACCTAGCACCAAAAGTAGTTGAAGAATAAACATATATTTTATTTATATTTCTAGCTAAATAAAACCTAAACTATAAACTAAAAGTTATGTATTTCAGAGGTTCAAGTATTCTATATTATATTCTTTACATTTTTAAATCGCATCTTTATTTTCTTTTTGTGCAGCTATAATTAAATATTTTCTACTCTTTTCTTATCTCTAAATTCATTGTTATTAGTATAATAAATCAGACTTAATGTGTAAAATGTGGTTGCATTTTTATTCTTTTTAGCAACTGACTCCAAGTAATTAATTAATTTTTTAATCATATTTTCATCATAATCTTCAGAAAGTACCATGTATTGAAACCATGCTTCAAATCTGTAATGGTTATTCTTATTCTCATTCTTAGATACTTCTTTGAATAGGGTCTTTGCCTCAGATTTATTTATTGGAGTACTGAATCCTTCAGCAATATAAACACCTTTCCAGTATTTTCCATTGATAGAGATTTCTAAATCATCATAATTTGCAAAATAATTAAAGTATTTGAAGTAAAGAGGTGCAATACTAAGTCTAGTAACTGAACCTCTAATAGTTTTATATATTTTGATAATACTAAATAAAACAGACTTAATGGCATTATTATTACTCTTATTAAACACAGTTTCAAATTTTTCTGTACTTTCATGTATCAAGTCTAACAACTCAGTTTCTTTAGTGCTAATAGAGTCTGATGACTTATTTAGTTTAGAACTAAATATGCTTATTGTATATTATTTAATAATAGAAATAATGCTTGATTCAAAAATTAAATAACAAAAAATATTACAATTGTTTATTTAAATAAAAAATATAATAATACAAAAAAAACAAAGAAAGCTAATCAACATGTTGATCTTTCACATGTTCTATCATTTGATTCCATATAGCATAGTACTACATTCTATAAAATTATTTTCCTATTTGAGCTATCAGAAAGCTTTTTTTCTTAAACTTATAACACAGATTACAAATATCATAATACTCTTTTTTCTTATTATCCTAACCTGTCTTATTCATTTTGCATAATTTACAAAATTTTTTTTCTAAAATAACATTTTTGAGCCCTATCTCAACCAACCTTATTTACTTTACATTCTTCACACAATGATGCATTTTCAATTAAAATTTTTCATAACATTGCTTGAATTTACTATTCTTTATATTTTTTCTATTTTTATAAAGACAGACATTTTTTGAATTAAATAAAAGTTTAACTTTATTATTGCCAGTAAAAAACTCCAACTCTTTTTTAAGAGATTCATTATTTCTTTCTAATATAACTTCACAACCTTGAAGAGCTCTTTCAATTTTTTTTGAATATCTTGGATCAAATAGAACTTCAAAGACATGCTTATTATCTTGTATTATTTTGTTATTATCTTAAAACATAAATGTGAATATCGAATTAGGATAATTTTTAATATTTTCTATTGTTGTTGTTATCTTTGTTTATTAACTACCAAGAATAAAAACTTGAGTGTTTTTATCTAAAGAAACACAAATGTCACAATATTTTTTATATTTAGAAAAGTTTTTATATTATAATAATGTTCAAAGCAACATTGGCAAAAGGTACATTTCACAGAATACAATCTTGACAATCACATATATTTAGCATAAAACACTCTTTGTAGTTATCTTGAAGGTTATAGTATTATATTCTATTGTTTAGTTTTAAAAATTCTAGATTTTTTTGCTTCATTATTGTTCATTTTTATAATTAGAAAATATGCATACAGATTTATTACAAATAATCCTAACTTTTATAGTTTATCAAGAATTAAATAAACTATATTTCACAAAATACAAAAAAAAACAAATTCAAATAAAGAATGTTCAAAATATTGAGTATGATTTCATATAAAACTTATTAACATCTTTTATAATCATATCAAGAGCTTTGTTATATAATTTAGTTAAACTATTTTTTAGTTCTACAAGTTCTTTGTTATGCTTTTTTTTTAAATAAAAGAAAAAGAAAATAAAACTCAATAATGAGATTATCAGATAAATAATAAATAATCTTTTGTAAAAATAATATTTTTTCTTAAAATTCTTTGAATAAATTAACTGATTCATCTTTTTAGATATTTCAGAAAGATTAACCATTCTGTTATCTAACAATTGATTTAATATAAGTTGATGCTTTTGAATTTGTAACAGTATAGTAACTTAATCATTATTAAGTTTCATAATTGATAAATAAAAGTTTAAATACCTTTAATATGAAATTTGTATCTGAGTATAAATCTTGTTGAGCATCTGTTAACTTATTTTATAATAATTAAAAGATGAACTGTATTGTCTTGTATAGACTAAAATAGATAGTTTGTTTAATAGAGATAATTTAATTAATATTAGTTTAAAATAAAACACATCTCAAATAAACATAAAAGATAATATTGTTAAGTTAAGAAGACAAAAATGTAAATTTTAATCAAATATGATAAAATAATTTATTAATAAATAGATACATATATTTTGCTATAAACTATACAATACTCTTGCTATACAACCTTGTAATTTCTAAAACTACACTAAAAAAAGCTTAACTGAATTAAGTTTCTTTGTTACTGGATATCCAGACTTTCATACAACCTGTTTGTGTAGATTATTTTTGTAGACAAAAATTGATACTAGATCCTGAACCATACTTACATCCTCTGGTGTAATATCAAACTTATATTTCACCAAAAACACAAGTTTTTTAAATTTGATAAAAAAGATATGCATAGGTTTCATTTTCAAAAATTCTTTGTCTAATTTATCAGAATTATTCATGTATTCTTGCATCCAATCTCTAACCTTGCTTCTTTGTTTCCTAAAAAGAATATCTTTAATCATACTCTGATACAATTCTATGTCAAAAGCTATTTTTTATAATCATTTCATTATTATCTTGCAACATCTTTTTAAAAATTGATACTTTAATTTTTTTAGTTAATTCTTCTTTGTCTTGTTCAATTTCTTCTGGAAATGCTTTATATTTTTTAAAACAAGAATAACAAGAACAATTTCCATTATTATCAAAAATCTTATTGCATAAGTCTTCTATTTTGTATTTCTTATTTTTTATAATAATTTCTTTAAATAAAGAAACTACTTTTGATTTCTTTTCAGTTTTTGAATTAGTTTTTCTTTTAGAGTTAGTTTTTCTTTTTGGTTTTGTTTTCTTGATATTTGGTTTCTTTATTTTTATAATAAAGGCTTTTTTCTTAATACATGAAAGTTTAATATAAATTGAAATTGCCTTTTGGTATTATATTCAAGTATTTTAATTCTTGATTGGTTTGCATATTTATTTTTTTTAAAAAAAATACTTTTTAATGATTAAGCACTCTTTAAATAAAAAATAATGTATTATGAATTTGTAATCCATAAAAGAAACTAATAAAAATAAAACTGAAATATTAGATAACTGTTAAGTGAGCAAAGCTTATTTTTACTAAAGAAACCAATAAAAATAAACTAAATTATCAGATGACTGTTAAGTGAATAAAGCTCACTCTTACTAAAAAAACTAATAAAAATAAAACTGGAATATCAGATGACTATTGAGTGAGTGAAGCTTACTCTTACCAAAGAAACTAATAGAAATAAACTCAATTATCAGATAACTGTTAAGTGAGTGAAGTTTACTCTTATTAAAGAAACCAATAAAAATAAAACTAGAATATCAGATAACTGTTGAGTGAGCGAAGCTCACTTTTATTAAAGAAACAATAAAAATAAACTAGATTATCAGATGACTGTTAAGTAAGTAAAGCTCACTTCACTAAAAAAACCAATAAAAATAAAACTAGAATATCAGATGCCTGTTAAGTGAGTGAAGCTCACTCTCATTAAAAAAAACCAATAAAAATAAAATTGGAATATCAGATGACTGTTGAGTGAGTGAAACTTACTCTTACTAAAAAAACTAATAGAAATAAAACTAAAATATCAGATAATTATTGAGTGAGTAAAGCTTACTCTTACCAAAGAAACCAATAGAAATAAACTAGATTATCAGATGACAGTTGAGTGAATGAAGCTCACTCTTATCAAAGAAACCAATAAAAATAAAACTGAAGTATCAAATGACTGTTGAATAAGTAAAGCTTACTCTCACTAAAGAAACTAATAAAAATAAAACTGGAGTATCAGATGACTATTGAGTAAGAAAGCTCACTCTTTAACCCTAGGCCTTGTGCTAGCAGTCTATATATGGTGTAGTAAAACACTATGCCAAACATACTATTATATATAAATATTATATATCTATAAAACAAATACATAGTAATAAGTAGTAGATCATATAAGTAAAATTACTATATTTTATTATACTTTTAATAATTGTCAGACTGGAAAACAGGCAACCAAGATCAGCA